GGGTGGCCAGCCTGGAGGAGGAGGCGCGCCCGGGCTGCGGCCACAGCCCCACCCGATCGGCCCCGCCCGCGCCGTCGCCATCTTCCCGCGAGCCGCGCCTCCTCGGCCTCTCGCGTAAACAGTGCCACGCGTACAGCGCCCGCCGCCTGGGGTCTCCTTCTGCAGGCGCTCCCCGCCCTCAAGTTGTTCTGGACTTTTCCAGGCAGGAAAAAAGTTGTCAGTGGTGCAGACTGGTGCCCCGTGCGTCGGGGAAACAGGTTCGAGGCAGGGCACGCTGTGGGGCTGCAGGTCCTGACCAGTGCTCTATGAGGGTGGCTGGGCCCTCCCTCTAAGAGCCAAGCTCTGCTACTCTGCCTAGCCCTCTGTTCCCAGGAGACTGAACAAAGAAGGTGCATGGAGACCCTGCTCTGGGTCCCCACCTCTCCTTAGGTGCCCACCACACCTTCCCACTTTCCTGGTATAGTGAAACTCCAGCCACACTGCAGAGGGACACTTCTTTGCGACAGAAGGCCTTTTTAAGAGGGCAGAAGCCGGAGTCAGGCTGCAGGGTACTAGCTCCGCGAAGTAGCCTCTCCTGGTGCTAGCTGCTCCCTCCATACCCTTGGCCTTGTACTCAGACTTGAGAGCCCCCAAACTGGGGTGCATGCACATCTCTGGGTAGGGACTGAGGATTCTGGGCTAGGGCTCCCTGGGGACTGTTCTGGATCAGAACCACAACATTGTCCAGGGGCCTGTGTCACCAGGCGGGAAGCTGCGCTTGCAGGGGGCTTAAGGGCCCCTTGGCAAAGGGTGCGGCTCATTCCTGTGGCCTGCTTGTTCTTGAGAAACAGAAAGGCTGGCACAGGGACCCATCTCTGTGGCGTCCTGTGCTTGGCAAGGAATTGATTGAGTTTCCAGCTGCCCTGCCTGGGACCCATCTCTGAGTCACAGCTCCAGGTCCCCTGCTGGGGACAATCGTGGGAGGATGTGAGTGTGCTGGGAGCACTACTGCTGCTGACCTCAGTGAGTTAGCCAGGCCCCTGCTACTGGCTTTCACCATCTCAAGTCCCTGCTATTCATGAAAAACTTCAGGATGTAATCCCAGACTCCCACAGTGCAAAGTGCTCAAAGCTGGCAACCAGAATCATGGCTGAGGCTCTCTGAATGCATCTTTATACTAAGTATTAAACACACACACATCATTAATCTTCACCTGAGCTCCACGAAAGTGATGTCATTTTTTCAACCTCTTTTTTGCTGGAGGAAACTGAGGAATTGATTCGGTTGCTTGCTTGGGGGGTCATTCACTCACCTCTGGCAACTCCTATCCTATTCCTGGCTCCACATTCTGCAGGGGTGAAGACCATGGAGGCAAAGGGTCGCTTGCCTGGTCGCACCTCCTCCAAGGCTCCCCTGGGCAGAGCCCCGTTCCCCCCACTGCTCATGGCAGCCCATGAATGACAGTGGTTGTCATTACCCTGAATGACCTTTTTCCTTTGTGGGTTACTGCCCTCAAGACTGTCCCCAGCCAGCCCAGATAAGAGTTGAGGCAAAGAAGGGGACCAGAGGGTCCTGGAGCCCGAGTTGGCAGGGCAGCTTTATACCTGTAAGGCTTTTGTGTCCTGCCAAGGTGAGAGAAAGAGACAGGGCATAGCGGGAACCACGAAAGAGGCAGGGTAGGAGGGCGATGTTCATATGAGGGTTCCTCAAGGGTCTTATGGGGCAGTGGTTCAG